TGTTTAAAATCTAGTTAAGTGGAGTTTAATTTATATTTGACAAGCATTTGTCTTAATGTCACTTCATTCAATTTCTTCCTCTTTATCAACTCTGCAGGATCAGCAATATGGTACACTCTATTTCGATATTCTAAGAAAATTCTATTTAATATCACATTCATCACATGTTTTTGGTATTTTTCTATCTTTTTTTTGTGTAACATTTTGGGCTAGCTAATATCTGTGCATCAACGATGTAAAGGTATTTTACATGTTTTAACATGGATTGGAGTTCTCGCAGAAACTGTATCTTTGTTTCATTTATGACGAAATAGTTAAAAACACTTGTACTATTTTTATGACCAGCCTTAATCTTTCTGCTGTCTGGAAGGTTCTTTAAATCACAGTTAAGAAAAAAAAAACTTACAATAGAAGCCAAATTATGTAGTGTCTTCCGGTTTTTTGACGCAGGTGTGCATGGAGAGATTTTATCTACGTTAAATGTGTTGCTCATGGTCAATCATAAACTAGAAACCCCCGTAGATTTTTACTATTTAGTAAAATATTAGTTAAACTTTACTTGCATCTCTGATCGCAGTTCTGACAGGAGCTTTACCCTGAACTGTTGACAATCCAAAGCCTGGCTGTTCTTCACTGATTTGACATCGGACACCATGCTCTAGAATGTTATCAACAGCCAGGTGTGTCTCCTGATTCTCTCTTGCTCTAAATGGTGGCTTAGAATCTCAATATCATTTTTTCTATATCCTGTATCTCTTAATTTTTCATTTTTTCAAATTCTATCCATCTCTATCTTGCTATCCAAAGATCCTTTGACCGAAATTTGCTGCTCATGTTTGTGTACAGTATGAGTTTTGCTACTATATTTTCTTTTCCAATAACAAATCTCTTATACATCGAAAACATTGTCTGTATCTCTTCCAATCACTAAACCAAGTCATCAATTCTTAATAACCAGCGAAATGCAAGCTGTCTCACCAGGAAACATTAGTAGGCATGCACACACAAATACAATTTAGCATGCATAAACAAATAATAATAGTGCTATACTATTCTTGCGGGTCGTAAACACCTCATCAATATTATCTATGCTATCTTCTTATTTTGAGAATACTTTAAACACAATGTTTGGAGCATTGCTACCTTAAATACATCCCATCTGTTATTTTAATGTGCTTATACACATTATTAGGTTAACGGAAGTTGAATGATTGCAAGTTGTCTTAAACTGACACCAGTCTTAAGTTTAAACATAAAAGCTTATGCAAGAAAATTGTGGCTGCATTGTATAGGGACTTTCAATAGTTCAACAATAATATGTCTAACATGTGCGCTACATGTGCACCACGAGCTACTTAGCTTGCTCGAGAGAACACGCATGCATGGCCTGGCCAAATAATGCAAGCGCATCCCACGTGAGACAAAAGACGAGCTAGCTCTCAAATCTAAGAAATTATTAAGCATTATCTTACCACTATGAACGAAGTATTTTGAGAACTCTAACAAGTATCGAAGGTTTCCTCCTTCTTAGAATCCTGGGTGTTTACCAGTGCCTTAGGCTTATTATTAGCATCCATCTCAAATTACTTTTAAAGTTATTTTTGTCGTACACAATCCAGCATGGAAAAAAATCTGAGCGCAATTGAGGATATAGAAAGAAAGAGGATCAATTAAGCACATTATCATACAAGAACTAAGAATGGCAGAGACGGATCAGAAGAATAAAACTCACACATACACGAGTCAATGGATACAAGCCTTAACCTGTTAACTGTATGTATGTGTAGAAATTAAAAGTAAAAACACTCTATTGACGATAACAATAACGTGATTCATTCAAAGAATTATGATAATTACTAACTATCCTATCATTGATAATCTTAACAAACTATAAAGCAAATTGAAACTTATGAAAACCAACTTAAATCACAATAAAAGCCTGAGTCTTAAGCACGCTTCTGCTGTCAGGCAAACGCACACATACAATTTTGCATTACAACCTTACATGTACACATGTTAAATAATATGTATCTTCCTATAAATTATAGTAATCTCAAAGAGTCATTCAGTATATCTTACCTCTAGCACCTAATCACTCCTTGGTCCCCTCAAAATAAGGTAAAATTATATCAGTCATTATGTCATTTCTAGTTCAATTACTTTTTGTATTCCTCCTCTCAGTTTTCCTTATGCTCTTTGAGGAACTCCCCTCAGCACCCATTATCTTAGCAATGCTCCAATATTTGTCTTAGCTATCTTCAGCTATTATTCACTACTAACATAATAATGTATTTATCAACATAACATGTTGGCTCATTTCTACACTATTCTTGAGGTTGGTACTATGGAGCGCTTGATTTTTTGTTTTTTCTTTAATTGCTAATGAGTTAATTTGTTGCATCATAAAATTTATACAAAAACATGACATGATATTTTCATACTCAATCAAAAAACAACGAAAAATCTTATAAAAAAATAAATCATAGACCTTCCTTGTACCCCTATTTACCATAAAAGGATAGAAATAATCTTTCTTTATATGAAAATATGTCAAATCTTTCAATAATTTGTACCCTTTTATCTATAACCTAAATAATGTGCAACGTGCAATAAAGAAGAAATCTATAGGCAATTAAGACTTAATATTACTTGAAACTAGGGGTGCCACAAGAATCGAAAAAATTCTTGATCTTGTCTTGTCTTGTCTTGAAAATCAAGACAAAACCAAGAATACGATGCATAAATAGCACTTAAGGCAACAACAATAGATTCCACTCAAAAAACTCATATTGTCTAGATAAATTACTCGAAATCTTCAGTATATTTTAATCTTGAATCAGTGTAACCAGTAAAGAAAAAAAGAACCTTATAATATGACATAAGCATGAACATGAGCGTTTAAGTAAACACAAAACAAAGCCCTGCACACGTGGGCTTGATTTAACTAGACTTGTTTAATTTCTGGAAACTTTTTGTATGCATATATAGCTATATTGTATATAAGATTACTATAGAGGCTTTGCTGCCGGCTACTTCAGTACTTTGAGATCAGTTTTCGTGCTGCCTCGTCGAAACAAGCATGTGCACAAAAACGCGGTAATCTATTTACGTGCGTTATACTTATTCGTTCTCTCGGGACTGCAGCAACAGTCAAAACGGATTTGTACTCTAGTCTCTTAATTTTGTTCTCAACTTTTTACCATTCTAAGTATTCTAACGCTTAAGCATTTATTACATTTTTCTATAGATTTGTGTACTTTGTGTAACTGTTATTATGAACATGTAATGATGTAACCTAGTTCTTATAAAACTGAATACGAATATGTGGTTTTGTATTGGACATCATTCAAAATTAAGTTTCTCGTAAGTTTTGTTTGCCAACAAGTATCACCATGTTAAAAAAAAAGATTGGCGATCAGCCATCAAGTATAACAAAAAAAAGCTCTTTATAACAAGAAGAATGTAAAAAAACATTAATCAAACATGGATTATTAAAAAATAATTCTGATGATAAAAATATTAGTGTCGCACGCGACTTCGTAGATACCAAAACAGCAGGAGGAAAAGGAAAGTACAGCCAAGTATTTCCGATAGCTATCAATAGTAAAGGCGATAAAATTGGCATCTACATCAAATGTGAGAAAAAACTGTGCAAAGATAAAATCTTAAGGGCAAACAGCAATACTACAGGAATGAAAAATCATTTACGTTCAATCCACAAGGATATATTTACATAGATGTTTCCGAAAGAAAAAAAACAACAGAAAACTATAGAAGTATGCACGTTTCCAGCAGTAAGTACATTAGCTACCACATATATATTTTTTTCCTAAAAATGTACCATACAAAATTCGAGTTTAAATCTTTACTTCAAAGTAAGAGTATCTATTTTATTTTCACCCAATAATGTGATATTACAATATATGTATAGTAAGTTTATTACCTAACATTAAAGTTAATGAGCATAAACAAAAATTGAGTACCACATTCGCGAACCCCTATGCGGTCGCCTACTGTACGCGAATCATATAATATAGAACCAATTCTGAGTGCCTCTCTTTCTTTCTTCTTACTTATGGGTCGTGCACGGGCTCGGTGAAAAAAGAAGAAAAAAGGAGGTGGAGAAGGAGTGAGAAGTCATGTATATATGTATACAAACTCTGCACGAGGAGAGCGTGGCCGATCGCTCGTACATAGGCACAAGTGTATGTGAATATGAAGGTTTGCACGGACCCAAGAGAGGAAAGGCTGACTTTTTGAAATCGTTTGAAACGGAGAAAAATACTACAATGTGTAATTGTAGCCATGCGTACCTGTAAAGAAAGCACAAATGCACTATACATAAATTTAATATACGTGCATTGTATATACAGGCACTAGTTTATCGTAGGCCACATCGTATTGCTCCGTTGATGCCCCGGTAGCAGTGTATAGTATGCGTATATTGTAAGAATTTCTTTGTACAGCTATGTATGGTTTATTAACCTCTCCTCGCACTATTTTTCGATTAGAGTAATGCATAAACCTGGGCAGACCGCATAGGCATGCATCCGTCAAATAATCAAGTCCACTCTCAAACAATACAGAAAAATATTGGGATCATAAAGGGTCACGTGACTCCTTGCAAAATATATATATATATTCATCTCTCTAAAACTTAACTTTGTCCATATGGGAAAAATTTAGTTTTCAATTTCTTTATTTCTGAACGCTTATTATTTTTAAAAAAAGGAAAAGAGTGAATGGCTAATTTGATTTCTTTAAGAGTAACTTAACATTAACTATCAGAAACTTTTAATATTTGTATAACTCTTAAATATTTGTTTTTCCTACTTTTTACCTGCAGAATTGTTATCATCTTGGTTTTCAAGAAATTAGTTTCAAGTCTGTTATTAGAAAAAAATTATTTTATAAAAAATAACTAGATCACTAATTTAGTTTTATCGAACTATTGTAACGGAAATTTTTTTAAAAATAAAATTTTTTTAAATTATTTACAGATTAAAGAGGAAACTAATATGGATATAGCCACAACATGCTGGCTGGCTTACAAGAATTTACCTTTCAGATTTTTAATGACTCTGCAACGCAAAACTATTTTGTATTATTTAATGATAACGTAAAAATCTGCAAAAGATCATCTCTTTACGACAAAGCCTTGGCAGAGTTCGAGGATATGCAAAATAATTTTAAATTAGTATTACAACGAAATAGTTCAAGATTATCTTTAACATTTGACGGATGGTCATCTTAAAACTTCAAATCATACTTTGGTGTTACTGTGCATTTTATTGATAATGATTGGGATTTGCAGTATGTTGCCCTAGATCTAATACAGTCTCAAGACAAGCACAAAGGATCAGACATGGCTAAAGTATTTTTTGATACGTTGGTTGATTTTATTATTTAAAATAAGGTTCAAGGTGTCACTGTAGATAATACGTCATTAAATGGAAGGTTTATGAAGGAACTGAAAATTTTGATCGTTAAAGCAAATATTTCATTTGATCACAAAAATCAACATATTCGATGTTTGGCACATGTAGTGGATGTAGGGGTCCAGGATGTACTTAAATTATTTAACGTTAAATTGAATAATACTAAAAAATAAATAATTCATCTAAGTAAGTATGATGATTATGAGAATAATGATGATTTAAGTGATGATGAGGAGAACATGAACATAAAAAAAATTCCAAAAATATTATTTGTAAACTAAGATGTTTAATCAAAAAAATTCGTTAAAATAAGGCCTTGAACACGCAATCAAAAATTTTATGCACAGCTTTAAATATAAAATACAGTAAACTGACTTTACACGTTATAACAAGGTGGAATAATACAAACGATCTTATTAAAACTGCGCCGCACCTAAGATTAGCTATAAATATGCTTTGTATAAATGTTGTAGAAATTCAAATATATCTCTTCAAAAGTTCTGATTGGGATTTTTTACAGTAATTAGTAGTTTGTTTAAAATACTTTGAGCAGGCAATAGTGATAATTTCAACTGAAAATTTCTACTTAAAATTTGCTGTTAGATAGAATTGAGTTAATCCTTTTTAAACTAGCAGAAAAAGTTAAAAAAGAATCAGATTCGGATTCTAATAATCAAAACCTTTCAAAAGCTTTCCCATTTGGTTTGGATAAGTTAGCTAAGCATCATAGCAAGTATAACTGGATGTATATTCTTTGTTCCATTTTGGACCCGCGTCATAAGTATAAATGTTTCGATGAAACTGTATGGGGTGAGGAGCTCAAAAAAAAAGGTGTGTAAAAGACTATATGCAAAAAAGACTATAATAATATGTATGCGAAAAATTTTACTTAAAATTTTACTGCAACAAACAAACCGAAAGAAGACTTCTTAGTTTGAAGGTCAGTGTACTCTGTTAAAACAGATAACAATCAAATTTGGAAAATGGAAATTAATAACTACTGTGACAAGTTCAGGGCTCCTGTGAAAAAGCCTATTTTACAGTGGTGGAATAAGAACGAAAGTGATTTTTTTATTTTGTCAAAGATGGCTAGAGATTTTCTTGATATCATGCCAAGTTCCATTCCAGTTAAGCCGCTGTTTTTTTCAGCCTCTGATCTTGTCACAGTAATGCGATGTTCTTTAAGCTCTGTTTTTATTTGAGTCATGCTATGTACAAGCTCCTTAATAAAAAGCGAACTAGAACTAAAATTCCACAAACGCTTTAGAGAAAGTAGACAGAACTTCGTGTGATATATGCAATACACACATCCATTTTACAAATGAATTAATACCTTTGGGAGAAGATATCTGTCAAACACTTCCTGTTATAACAATGGTAATAGTAGTATGGATGTATCAGAAACTGTAAGGTTCTCTTAAGTTCAGTTCTTTTAAGTTCTTTTTATATTTTAAAATTTAATACAAATATTCATTTAATTAATGAAAATTTTTCTAAATTACTTTTACAAGTAGGAGAGAGACAACTGAATTCACTAATTATCTCTGAAAAATTGAAGGTCAAAAATGTATTTTTAAATATTTAGTAACAATAACCAATCTTTATTAAATAGTGTTATTCTAATTTCTCATTCTGAAAACACTTTTTTATACATAAAAAAATTTCAAATGTAATAAAAGTAAGAACAACAGCTTATTATAGCATGGATCGTGCTACGTCCAGAGGTGTCAATAAATCGGATGATAACGTTTCCATAAATTTCCCTATTAAAATATTAAACAGTATTCGTAAAGGTTTGCCACCGTATAAGCTTAATTTGAAAGTTACAGCAATAGTTATGCTGATAAAAATTTTATGTATAGCAGATGGTTGGAATCATCACAGAAGAAAAACGTTAAAATAGATTACTTATACCAAAAATCACTTTAAATACAGGTAATGGCTCGTCGTTACCTTTCATACCTTACAAAAAGCAATTTCCCTTAGTCTTGACACTAGCTATGACAATTAACAAAGCTAAAGTGAACAGTTTCAATATACGCCTGTATTTTCTCATGAATAACTATATGTGTCGTTATCAAGATGCAAAACTTAAGAGGTAATATTTATGCAAATTGAACGTAAAAATAATTTGGAATCAGACAATATTGTTTGGGAAGAAATTTTTGATTAAGAGGAAATACATTTTTTTTTAAAGACAAAAAAACTAACAAATTGAGAGTTATTACATAAATTTCAACAACATTATTTAGTAGTAGCATATGACGTGATATGTTTGTAATTCATTTGACTACAATTTTGCTAGAAATCATTGAAATTTAAATTTTGATTTAAAATAACCATTAATAACTTTTTTCAAAATAAGGTTCATCTTTCAATGTTCTTTAGCAAAATTGGTTTATTTTTATGATAACTCCGTGTTTGTATTAAGAAACAACAATTTAAAAGAACTAAATTTTGAGATTTTGTACTAAAAATCTTATCTTATAAAAACTAAAGTTATGTATAAAATAACAACTCTCACGTATTATATAGTTGATTTGTAATTTACGTACATAAAAAGTAGTAGATCTAAGATACACGAGTTTTAGAAAAAAAAAATATCAGCGAATGTATAGAAGTATGAATAAATTTTTTTTAATTACTATATCTATGAATGTTTGTTTTGTTCCTTTGTGATCGAACATCGGGGAGCAATGTCCCTTCGTAGTTTTATAAGGCTACTGTCAATGACTACCACAGTACCTATTATTTTTTTACTTCTTAAGTTTCAATAAATATGTTTAATCACATCACGTAATACGATTATACGTATTAATTAAAAACTCAATGTAAGAAAGAAATACTACAAACAAAAAAAAGGTCAAGACGCCTTAGATATTACACTTATTAATATTTATTTAAAGTACTAATTATATTTGATTTTTTTTATACTCGTTGTTATTAAGTATAAAATTTATCTAATTGCTCCCTGGGTGGTATGGAAAAAAAAATAACTATACATAGCTGAGAGCTTGTCTACCGTAAGTTGTAGGAGCTGCTGCTTACGATTGCTGGCTACAGCTAGTTTCAGCTTATATACATTTTGCGTATACAATAGACTATTGATATACTATAGACTGAGCTACTACAAATCTGTAGAATTATCCTTCATATTGCAAGGAGTGCTGGATCGGTTACATATAGTGGGGGGCCCGCATGGACGAGTGTGAAAGGGCGGTGGGCTGATGATGGAGAAGCAGCAGGGGGGCGCTTAAAAATGTGCAGTGGGCTGCGGGGGCCATGGGAGACTTACAAAAAAAAGAGAGATTCTTAATGTGTCAAAATAACGGTGAAATTAACGAAAGCTTTTCTTATTTCGTGGGATGGATACGAGGGGGCTGCGAGGCGGGTGTCTTGAAAATTGTGCGAGGGGCTATGGGAAGGCTAGATGGGGCTTAGTGGGTCTCCAGCTATTTTCTTTTGGGTTGAAATTTTATTGATAGTTATCGAATTTTTTATTATTTTTCAGGGTGGTTTTGTGGGTGGAGGGGTTGTAATGTGGCATAGGGGGGTAGTTTAAAAAGTCTTGCCCTTACAACTATGTAATATAGGAAGATATATAATTCTGTTCACTTCTTTTATGAGTGTGTTTATTTCATAAAACTCAAAACAAAAACGACAAAAGATTGTGATCTTCTTGAGTACGCTTGAGCCTAGGATAAATTTTTTTTTGGAAAAACGATTCTTGTGATATAAGAATTTTGGAGCCAAGAGTCAAAAAAACGAGTCCTAACACAAGAATTCAACGAGTCAGTCAGAAGTAAGAAGCAGCAGAGACCTGAGAGAAAATAAAACAGCGTTTTAATAAACAAAATAAAGGTCATACATTGGATTAAGCCTCAAAATTAGGTAAACTCTTTACTCTCTATTCCCTCTTAGCTGCTGCTGATAGATAAAAAGGGACCAAATATCAGGACTCAGGCATAACATATAGCATAGTAAATGCTGGTAAGAGAGACCCTAAGCGTTTTCTCTTTCAATACAGTAAGCCCCTGTGTTAACACTATGCTGTACTGACTCAAAGCGAGCTGAATTTTTCAAACACGGCTCAGGCGTGTCATATGCGTAAAATGGATACACTTGAGAAAACCCAAGCTATAGACACAGCAAACATGTATCTCTTAAAGGGTACTTACTATGAGGTGGCGAATAGCTGGAACGAAATAATTGACGATAAAACTAATATATACGATTTATTTGACGCAAAAGCACAAGGGAAAAATACAAGGCAACAGATGCTTGAATCAGAACTGGAACCAAGTGGGTGCGAAAAATTCGATGCGTTGCATGAGGAAACTAGAGAAACAGTAATAGGGCTCTTTGCCCCAATAAAGGCAAAATTAAAAAACAACCAGAAAAACCAGACAGTTAATCCACCTGATAAAGCAACCACAACTATAAATGAAACTTCGAAATCATCGAACATAAATAAGCCCGATAAGTGGAGGGGCATAAAAAGTACAGCACTAAAAAATAATGACATACGTTACCTGAAGAGCAGAATCAGAGAAGTAAGTAAAGAGCTAGAACGGATTAAAAAAGTGGCTTTTGCAGTGGTGGCTCGTCCCACGTATAGGGATCAACCCACGTGGACTGACCCACAATCACACAAACATAAGCAGTAAGAAGATATATTTTTAAGT